CCTGAGCTGCACATCACATTCACCAGGGTGTTTTGTCAGAGAGGAAGTGTGAGTCTTCATATGGGAAGACAAAGTTCAAATCAAATCAAAAGGTATGCTGATAATATAGCATGTCAATCAGAAAAAGGAAGACACAAGATTTATTTCCAAATGAGAGTTTCTCAATAAGACCAGCATTTTCTCTTGATGGAAGAAGGAAAACACAAATTGAATGGAGAAGAAAAGGGGGAGAAATCAGTACTTCAAACCAAGTCCAAAATCACTTTTAAACCTGATCAAATTGCATTACAGTGGCAACAAGAGTCACATAACAAGCATTGCATTATGTCCCTTACTGTGTGCAGTGATATATGTCATTGAGGCCCTCCAATAATGGCAAATGCCACTCTCTCCAGGACAGAAGTGACCAGCACTGAGCAGCACAGAGCAGCATTTCACAAAGTGTGAGCAGTTGGCTCACACAGCAGTGAGTGCAGCAGCAGCTGCTCAGCACTAACAGCACTGCCTCTTCAACACTGCTCTGAACACAGACTTACAGATGGCAATAAACTAAGATAAAAACTATTCAAGCAAGTAGAAGCAAAGTAATGAAGAAGCCCAACTGTCCTCAAGGATAATTATGAATTAAATTAAAAAAAAAAATAGGGCAGAAATCCCTTACTCTCCATCGATTATTCCAAACATAGCTGTGTCAGGACATTCATACTGTGACCCCTCCCAAACTAATTATTTTTATGGGTATTATACAARATTGTGCATTTAAAGCAGAAACAGAGGCCCCAAAATTGCTTCTGCAACTTGTGGGAAATGTGGGAAACAATTTCTAGGTATGAAGGGCACCAATTAATGTCAACCACCCCTCTTGGACTGCACCCAGGACTGAACACAAGCCCCAGTGCAGCTRAGGGTGAGCAGCAGTGCCAGGATCAGCCTGGCAGGACCTACTCCACCAGATGTAGCCTGGGATGGAGCTGCCTTGAGGAGTGAGAGGATGTAGAAGCTTTGGTTTCCACCAAGTCTTGCCAAGCCCTCTGCCTAAGAGGGAGGCCTAGAGCTCACCTCTGGTAAACCATGAGCTCACTSAACTCCCCCTGGTGATCAGGGAAGAAATCCCAACAGAGTCAACAACCTGTGGGTGGTGCCATTTGCACCTTCAGTGGGCCTCTCAGTGTCTCCAGAAGGCCCAGACTTTGCTCTGCCCATGTGCTCTGTCATATGTGGTTTAATTTTCTCCCAGCCTGTAGCGTGTGTATTTTGTTAGAGTTTCTGGGTCTACTCATAATGTTCAACTGGTTTTTTTCCCTGTAGAAATTCAGTCTAAAGGACTCAGTCAGGGCAGAAAGGGGAAAGTTTACAATGGGCTCTGAGGTAGCCATGTGCTCCCAGCACAGACAATCACAAGCTTGAGAACAGAGTAGATGTGCAGCAGGGATTCTCAAGGAGGCTTCCCATTAGACAACAGCCCTCATTCCTTTAATTTCCATGAGATTACACCGAGAATTTCAAAAGACAAATTGTGGCTCTTTCCTGGGAAGGGTTCTTGAGAAAACCCTCAGCACCATGGATAGGGTTGCTTGCTTATACATATCTTCAATCTCAGAGCAGATAAACATTTAGAAGACAAAGCCCTGGAATAAATTGAAAAATAAGTACAAAAACAAGGCACTACACAAACAATACACAAAACACTGCTTTCCTCTTGAATCTCTTACCATCTCTGAAATGTGCCAAGAAAATAGGATGAAATTGAAGTTACTGATCTGCCTTGCTATTATTGCATGTAGCCATATATAATCATGTCAACCTWAAGTCACAGAAAAACAAAACTTGTGACTGATGAGTGAAGACTTTTATCTCCATAAAATAAGATACCTTCCATCCAGGTTGCCCTCACATGTGACGTTTGCTCCCATGGGCTAAGTCACTCTTGTCATCTGAACATTTTTCATTTGGTGGGAAAGTCATGTATCATTTTCTCTCTAGATCAGAGTCACTATTTGAGTAATTTTCTCACACAATATTATATTGCAGTAATCATGCGTTGCTCAGATAYTGTATCTCCCTAATTTTATCTGCCTAACAATTGGCAGGAGAGGTTAAACAGACAATTGTATTACTTTGCAACAACTAGTCTTTCAATGAAGGATTTTATCTTTAATTTTCACAGCCACAAAAAGAAACTGACCGTTTCTATGGCTTTTGCTTTTCCTTTGAATGAAAAGTTCCCTAAGCAAGTCTGACTTGCTTTCCCTCTAACTTGGACCTGCCCCTAGTTATCACCTCATTTCCAGCTCAAGGAACATCAGAACAGTTTTCCCCTGAACTCATGACAACATGAAAGCATTTTCACTTGGTGTTTCAAAGGATCCAGACAATTGTTTTCTCCACAGGTGATGGTAACAACTCTTGAGTTGCTWTCAATGTACATTTCATAAATCTCCATTCACACCTTGTTTGACTGAAAGGCACAGCCCTGTGCCTTTGATTTGCAGTGGGATGAGACTAAAATGCAGMTCCTATTTACAGGTGAGAGCAAGCCAGCTGTCCTGTCTGCTCAGTGGGTTCAGTCCTGTGCAATTCCCAGGGCAGGCAGGAGGGAATCATTTACAGAAGGTCTCATCCTGSAGTGCTGTGTGCTCTGAACTCCTGCTGGTGCCAGTACAGGGGAGCTCAGGGTACTCAGGATTTGGCTGGACTTACTTCAGTACTCCAGGTTGGGMTGATCCACATACCCTCTTCTCCATCACTTTGAGAAGGGCAACACTAATAGAGCCACTTAAAAAGCAGGGGAAGAAACATAAACAAAACTAGTGAATGAAACTGCCCCCTTCACTGCAATATAGGATGGCTAATACAGCTGCTCCAGTCTTCAGCTCTAATGTTGTCTAGGGTAACTTGTACTGGTTTAACATGTGTTCTATATATTTGAAAAATTAGCTGAATGGAATTAGTGAAATGACTGAGTCTCTGSAGCTCCTCCTTGGCTTCTCAGGGATCCTGACTCAGGATCAAATTCCTAACTTTCCATGATAGCTGAATGGTAGATATTGGAGGTACTCTAACATGGTAGCATGAAACTTATCCAGCCTCTGTGTAATAAGACCTGTGAAAACCTGAGATTTTTCTATAATCAAGCAGGGACTTAGGTGGCCTTGGGGTTTGAAAAATGCTGGTAATGGAACTGTTATTGTTATTATGAATATCCTRGGCTGAGGCACAGAGGGAAAAACAAAGATACATATTCAGTACCAGGACAGAAATAGCATTTGAAATGCACAGTTTCTCCTTTTGTGTCTTTGATCTACTTCTGCTCTGAAAGGCACAGTCTAGGAGAGACAGRGAAGAGTCTGGCCTAAGGGCCTTGGTCTCTCCAACTGAGCTGGCARAGGTTGCCCAAGATAATGTTATTTCTAGGATGTTAATTGGATGTTTGCCAGGTTGGAAATGCCTGGAAAGATCTAAGATCACCAAGCCTTTCCAGAAGAATAGTCATAAAATGGCTTTTCATGAACTAAATKATATTCTTGGATTTAAGGCAAACATAGCACAAAAAGTGATTCCTTCACAGGAAGTTCTGTTACAGAGGTCAGAAGAGGTTCATAKCAATGATGGAGCACAGCTGCCATCCTGGGGAGCCAGTCACACTACCTCAGTGACCACAGAGCTACAACGAAAAAGCCCTTCACACATACTTGYGGAAAAGATACAGACCCATTATTAATGGTCTCAACTCACCTATACTTTTCCATGCTTAAGCAAATGCAAAGCCTGTCCAGAAATCCTTAAAGA